AATCCTGAGCCATTCAGTATCGCGTTTGCGCCATGCTATCTGAAGCCGAGCAGATCTGAAGCCCGTGGCACCTCCAGGCTCAACGAACAGCGCTCATGTCAAGGGCCGCTCTTCTTTTGCTGCCGCTGCTGGCAACAGCAGACTCAGGGATCCAACAAGCCCTGGACCAGGAGCTGCCATTCCTGCGGCCCGTTAGGCCTTTTCGAGGGCCGATGTTTAGATGGCTTTGTCACTGCGCCAGGAAGTGATTCGTTCTGCAAAATGGGTGGAAGACAAGTAGGAAGCCCCGAGCTCCGAGCCTGCAGGACGACACCTGCACAGATCCTTCCTGCAGCCTGGGCCTCCTCCACGTGCGTGGCAACGCCACCAGCTCCTCAGCTTAGCGCAGAGAGGCCTTCGAAAAGCAGCTCTTAGAGAGCTTCTTTAGGATGCACAGGGCCCAGGGGGGTGATGCAGGGATGTACAAAGATCATATGTCCGATCAGGTTGCGGCTGCCTGGCTGAGGGGCAGAGGTAAAGGAACTCTCATCTGAAGTTTGGGGGTTGTTTAGGGAGATGTGAGGGAAGGTTTTGTGCAGGGCCGTTGGGCTTTGGGCTGAGGTGAAGAGACGGCAGATCATCAGCCAGGGCGAGAGACAGGATCGGGTTGACATGACATAGCAGCCTGGGACCGTAGCGTCTACGGATTTCGGCCAGACGTACCAACTTTGCGTGGGCAAAAAATGAGGCCGCACAGCACTGGTTAGAGTTGCCTACACTGAGCAAGAAGAAGTGGCGGCAGAAACGTGTTTGGAGCTTGTGCTTCGCCAGAAGCTGCACAGGAGTCTCCTGCATGTTCTCCAATTGTGACGCCGGGAAGCTGGGCCCAGTGACTTGCCATCACTTTCGGTGCATCTGCCAGGAGCCTTGGCATAAGAGACCTCATGTTAAATGCTGCTGGGTTCAATCGAGATGGGGTTCAACTGCAGCCCAAACACGAAATGACCAAGGAGCATACGCTTTGGAGTCGGGTGCTGAGTGCAGCTTCTGTCACATTGCCAGTCTGCAGGTACAAGCATTCAGCATAATGCCTTCGTCCAGCAGAATTGTTGGAGTGCATCGCAGCGTGGTTTTGGCAGGTAATGACCGCAAGACCTGCATAGAGCAATCGGCCGGTGAGGCGAGCAGGGAGACAGGCCCGCAGTGTCTACAACAACGCCGTCTCTTCATGTTTCTTCAATGCAACATGCCAGACGATCTTCCTTTACCGGTTTCTGTCAAACTGCACCTCTAAGTACTGCATGTGATGCTGGCATCCACGGTAGTCAAGATGAGGGATATGATGCTACAGTGCAAATCAGTCGCATCGGAGCCTCCATAACTCTTCCCAACTTTGGCTTCCGTGCCATGACTGGCCTTAGATTTGGCATGTCGAGCTCCACATCCCAAACTCACAAGTTAGAAGGCTTGGACAGTCCACTGTCCCAACCTTCTTGCCAGGCGGAACCTGTGGTTGGTTTGGCTGTAGCAAGACCCGTGGTGAGGTCACGTCCCGCGCATGCAATGACCCGAACTAGCATTTTTCGATGATGTGAACGTTGTACTTTGGGGCAGGCATCCTTGCTTTTCTTGCGGCATCTGGCGTGTTACTGACCAGTAGAGCTTGAGCAGGATAGAACTCCTTGCGGGGCACCGCTGGCACATGAAATCGCATAGAGCTACATCAAGGTGAAGTGGTGCTTGGGTTCTGGGAAACGGGTGTTTGGTTTTCATGATGTCTGCCTAAGAGTAGTCAGTACTGCTGGAAAGAATGGATTTCAGGTGGCTCCATGCATTCCCCCAAAATTTAGGTTTTCTAGGATCCCGTGTCTCTGTCCAGCCACTCCTGTCGTTGTTCATATGGTGTAGTATTGTGCAGCTGCATTGCGCCTTTTCGCGCGGCATTAAGCACTTCCAAGTTCTTGCTGCATCATGCACATCATGCTTCGGGTGTAAGACCCAAGGTGCGTGGAAGGACGCTGCCTCTGTAACGATGGTTATCTTGCCTTCAACGGCAAGTGCTACAAGACCACTACAACCACAACGACACCAGAAACCACGACCCTGGCCGAAGAACGGCTTGGAGCTTTTACTTTCGGTTGTGGAGCTGGGCATTGGGGGAGGGAACTTTTTGGATAGCGCTCTCTGGTTGCAACATCTCTTGTTCTAGGTATGATCTTGCATTGCCCCTGGCTTCGGCCAAACTCAGGACTGGCACATGGCCGGACGTTGTAACTAGCAAGCCGGAGCACGTGGTACCACCGCCCCCACCTCGCCGCCCGACATGCATTCAAAGGACAGTCAGATACATCTTTCAAGTTAGGTGCTGCGGCCATCTCGTATCAGGATGTTCCCAAGCAGCCCCCTGCTGACAACGGTGCAAGTCATAGAAGGCCCAGATCGGCCGGTGCCAAGTGTTGCTCAGACTCTGGACCTTAATCAGCGTGCCGAGTTTACAGCAGCTAAGGACCCCACACGCCGCCCCCATCTCACTCGCCACTTGGATTTGCGGAGATAGTTTAGGTCGCAGGAAATGACACGACATCTTTCAGGATTCGCAATTGCACAAGGGTGTGCCAGCTGTTCCATGCATAGACTACAGATTCATTTCTGATCAAAGTTGCTTGCCGCATGATATTGAGAGACATGTGCTTCAGGGTACTTCTTCACCAACAGGGTACTTCTTGCCCGTATTAATGGAAACTCCCAAGTACTGACATCACCGTTCCCTCCAAGATCACTCAGCCCAAATTACCGCTGGATTACCTGAAATTGGATTGTTTATGGTTGTGTGTGGAGGTATGGGGGGTCCTGATAGATCTGGCCCATCTGGCCCTCAGGTCTGAGGAAAGCAGTGGCAGCGGCGGCGGTGACAGCGCTTCCGCTGCGTGCGAGTTGCACAAAGGACGATCTTTAGCAGGAGTTTTTGGCTTGGTACGTTGCCAATTGTAGAGCCGACTGCCGCTACTTTGCACTGTTGAAATGTTACGCTTGCTACAATTGCTACAAAGCTCCCCTAGTAGCATGATTTGTCTCTGTCAGCTCGTGGACACACACGTCGGCAATTTAATTTAGGGCTTCTGATTTCGTGCCTTGTCCTACTGTGCGGCTGGATATATAGACAGAATGCTGTTTCGTGGATGTGAATGCTCTGATCCTTGACCATTTTTACTGAACTGCAAGTCAGAGTCCGCTTTCCAGTCGCAGGCTGCGCGGATCTGGGTCTGAAGGGTGCCTGCTGCCCGACGCCAGCCGGTGCCCCTCCTGAAGCTGTTTGTTGACACTGGGTCATTGTCTTTGAACGTACCAAGGAAGCATGTCTGGCTCGGTGTTGCGAGGGCTTGCCCTTCCACTAATTCAGCTCTGGCTCAGTGATTTCACTCACATGCTTTCTTGGCTTGAGCAATTATTGTCTTCCTCAATTGGCTGAGTAAGTGAGCGCGTTGATTGCAGTTCGCAGGCACGTTGTGCTAATTGATGCAGGTTAATCCTAATTCTCGTTCCAAGCTGCGTTCAGCGTCTGCAGCTGGTGAGGCACCAATCTTGGGTGCTGCTAGTTTAGATCGGCGAGCAGCCTGCTTTCTGGTTGCTGGGCTGCATAGCAACAAAGTGAGGCAAACTTTTCAGTTTGCGGGCGACATGACGATCGCTGCCGCTGATGTTCGTTTGAGGCCTGTCTCATCTAAGGCTTCGCTGAGAAGCTGCCGTGCATCGGCCCTAAAATGCTGCGGGCCAGGTGGACACGGTGGCTGAAGAGCAGCCAAGAGAGCACGAATTGATAGCACCGACTAGCAAAGGCAGCAAATGACTGCGAGCATATGAGCAAAAAAGGCTTCCTCTGGCATTCTGACAAGAAGCTTTGGGAGGTTTGATGTTCAATTTAAGACGGGCGAACAGGCCCAAGGCTTAAGGGTGCGGGATTCTTGGAGCGACTTAAGAGGACTTGTCAAGTCACTGAATCGCTGACGCAGACGCGGCTCGAGCTCCTCCGCCACGCTTCGCCCCTTTGGCCTGCGGAGACACCATGTTCGCTAGGGTCGCCTTGAGGCTGGAGCATGAGAGAACTGGATCCAAGTGTAACGCATGTTGCAGAACGACCTCCTTCAACTCTAGCTGCCATTAGCCCTGGGCCACAGCAGCATGGCTCGGAGGTTGAACCATTGGCAGGTAGCCATCCTCTTGCGACTAGGGTGTCCCTTGGAATCGACTATTGGCAAGGAAGCCATCAGGACAGAAAGGTAATGAAAGTGGCAGTTGAAACCATCGCATCCTGAGAGGCGCTGCGCCCTCGCAGCGACCGTGCGCCCTGCGGCGCGCAGCTTTGCTGCGTCGCCGCTGGACACGACGGCAGGGAGGGGTCAAACGGATGGGGGCTGTTTTCAACGTACAGGAGCTCTGGTGACTCTGGTGTTGGATTCTGATGACTAGGAACTTCGTGTAGTCTCTGCGAACTGACGGCACTGTCACTTGCACAGACATAACCTGCAACCGAGTCTTGCAGATTCCAGCCAGAAAGCATCGGCGATGGTCAGCTTTAAAACTGTGCTAGGCGAAGCTTTATGAAGACTTTGTGGACAAGTCCCTGAAGGCATTTTGAACGTCCTGTGAGCCTGTTGCTGCCACGGGTTGATGTCAGCAGTGTGCGTGCCCTGAGGAATATCAGGCCAACCAGAAGGTGGCGCGGACCTTGGAGCAGCAGCAGTCCTTGTCATGTCCTCTTGAACACCCTCAACCCCTGTGTGCTATTGCGTGCTTGTGACTGAAGGTTAGCGCAGACCTGGATGCCGAAATTTCGGGCAGCAAGGTAAGGGCAAGCTGTCCAGCTTGCATTACCTTGCAAACCTTGCAGTCAAACCCTCTGTCGACCTTGGGATCATGGGCAGCAGTCAACATCTTCAAGTCCCCAACTGTTTCTTGAAAGGGTCTTGGATGCAACTAGTGAGGGGCCTGCGCATCAACCGTCCTTCCAGGTGGTGCTCTTCATGGAGGGTACTCCAGATGCGCCAAAGTCTGAGCCGAGTCTGAATGTCCGAAGCTTAGCTAAGTCTAAATATCTTCAAGACACTTGAAGCCAGGAGGGAGTGGCACACTTATCTGACTGTTCATGTGCGGTGAGTGAGAAGTGGGTCACAGAAAGCCTCGCCTCCTGCATCCCCTGCAGGGTGGACTGCAGCTTGGGCAATCACAGCCGCCAATTTCAGTTGTAGAATCAGGCTTATTGGTGAAGCAGTCAGGATGCATCATATCAAATACAGCGTGGGTACGGCCGTGCTGCTGAGTCACTATTCAGGATGTTGTGTTGTCAGCGTCGGTCAGCACCTCATTGCTTAGACCCTTAGGCCGTGAAGATGCTGACCGAAGCTCAAGCGGTGCCTCTGACATCCGTGGACGCCGCATGCTTGGCGAATTGAAATCAGACGTGTGCTTATCTCCTTGACAGTAAGGGGTTTGTGCAAACGCTTCGAGGTTCTGGCGCATCCTGCAATTCTTGGCTACACCGTGGCAAAGACGCAGAAGCGAAGAACACCTCACCTCTACGTGAACGGAAGCTTCTTGTCTCTGTTAGTGCCTGCTGCTACCTTGTCTGCTGTTTGGCTGAGTCCTGTGAATCTCAATTCTATCAACATGCTACCTGGCCCACATTGCGGCTTCCTAGCTGTGACAGCAAGGCTTCTATGCTGACTATGACGGTCTGATGGCTCAGCACGGCACAGGCTGCGAGACTCAGCCATTCTTCAATTTGAAGCTTGAAGCACGTCCGTGGCACCTTCGAGATAGTTGATATGAGGCAAAGAGGATTGTAAGCAGGAAAGCTCAAGGAGTTGTGCAACATTAAAGGCCCCGAAGTGCTGCAAGGCCAGCTGGCCAAGAACCTCGGGACCGAGTCCACGAAGAGCAGCGGTGTTTTCGGTGGGGAACTGCCCATTGCCACCTACTGAGGCTGGGCTTGGGAGATGTTAGATCCCCGCGCGTACAACACCCCAAACCTGGAATTGCAATTGGATAAGGTTGTCATGTTCGTGCTGCTCAAAACAGCTGTCACGACAGGCGCCCGAAATGGTGTGAGCCGACAGCGCTTTGCTCCCGATAGATTTCAGTGGAGTGAGCGGAGCAACCTGCGCCCATGTAATGCAAGATGCCGTGTGCAAAGCGTTTGGAGCTGTTGAGGCGCGCATACGTGTTTGAACCCTGAGGCATTCGGCAGAGTCTCAGCGCCTGTCACTGTCGGTTTATATAGAAAACAAAGTGCCAATTATGACTTCATGCAACATTTAGAGATGACAAGCGCGAGAAAAGGTGCAGACTCCGCTCCCCATGCGTCCGGTCTGGATTGTGGTGAAGGCCTTTGTAGTAGATCCGAATATTCCGGAGGCACCAAGAGCAACCCACCCAGCTATGCTGTTCAACAGTCAGTAAGCTCGAAGACAAATAACGATTGTTAGACGGTCTGCGCGACAAGTAGCCACGGCTCGTCAGTGAATGTACTACACGCAAGAAAGCCCAAAAGCTGCCAGGTTTTGGTTGAGGTGCATCATGTCGACATAGCTTGAGTAGAGAAAAGGACCGCGTGCTGGCCTTCAGTGCATGAGTTGTTCGCTCCCATGTTCTGAGATCTGCTGCATGTCTGCAAGGATGACGCCTTGCCTTGTACTTGATGTGACCATTTTGTAGCGACATGGCTCATAGGTGGCACTGTGCAACCAAGCCTTGGCAGGCAACTCATGTCAGATCTTCACGTGTGGCGAATAGACTTTGTGCAGTGTGGGGGGTAGTTCAACAGCATGGCGTGGCAAGCAACCAGCCATGCAACAAGCTGGCAGCTAGCTGTGTACAGGTTTCTCATTGTAAGAGGGAAGGAGGATTTAGCTGATCTCCCAGCCATGTCAATCAAGTTCCGCGAGGAACCTCGGGGCCAGAGCTCGCCTTAGGTAAGGGCAGTTGGCGACAGCAGACGAGCTCCAAACGTCCCTCCGAATGTTGGAGACTTCGTGCAAGCTTCGTGAGATTGCACTTATCCCAGAACGGCAAATCTTCAGATGTCGTTTCTTGTTGATGATGATCATGATGACCTGTCTTTCGCAGATTTCCCATGGCCACTCAGGGTTCACACTACAGGTCATGTCAGAAATCGCCCAGGCTGGACATCAAGTTGGGCGGGACGCAAATCCTGCGGCGGAAAAACAGGCTTGAAGGGAAGTTATGGGCATGACTGCGACTCCAGGATTGTTTCTTGGGGCTCCCAGAAGTCTTGGGCCTAAGCCCAGATAGGTGAGGCGAAAAGCTGCATGCAACTTGGTCAACTTCGGTCCTTCTCTGCTACACAAAGCGAAACTCCCGATATGATACCGAACGAACCATGTTCGCAGCGCCACTTCTTGACACCAGGGCGGTTCTGCAGAAGGATGACCCGAAGGTGTCCACGGCACTCTGCCCACAGCGTTTGCTGTCCGTCTCTTTGAAGGGGCCCAGCTTTGAGAACCCTAGGCGTCTGGATTGCTGCAGGGATTCATGGAACTAGTGGAGCTCATGTTTAGGGGGTGAGTGTTCTACGGCTTGGCTATTGGCCTTATTCGGTTGAAATTCAGTGTTGCCAGGGCTTCGGGCTTCATTGCTTGAGTGCCTGCAAGATTCGCAGGTGCAAGATTCGCAGGCCCCACGACCCCCAGTCCCAGCACTCTGATGCTACGTGGGATAGTGGTGAGAATGTGGCTCGTTCACGTTGAAGCATAAGGGCCAAGCCAAAAGTTATCTCAGCCCCGGCCAGAGAGCCCAAAACGAGTATTCCTTGGGCGCAGATGGCTTTCTCAGCAGAACCAGTTCGCAACCTCGGTGGTCGCGGGCCAACCCCTCAGATGTTCATTTAGGGCTGGGGCTGTCAAGGTGACTGGCAATGCTCTGATTTTGAAGACCGAGTTTGGTTCTAGTCTAGCTGGCACTAGTTGAAGACGCACGTTCACATCTCAAGAATGCAACCTCATCGCCCCAGAACGCTCGAATCGTTGAATCACTCTTAGCTTAGCTGCCGAGGTGCTGGTTCGAGATCCGCGTCGACGACCTCGCTGGAGGAGAGATGCGATGCGCCCAGACACGGTCACATCACTTGTGCTTTTCCGTTTATTGATAGGCATATATGTCTGGCAGAGTAAATATTGCATCTTCTTGAGAAAGTCCCAATGTCATCCCGGGAATGCCAAGCTCCGTCATGGGCGTGGGCTTCACCGCTACCGACCCGGACACCTTCTTGAACTCTGAGGAGGGTGAGGCATCGTCAACCAGAAGATGGGAGGATCGTGTAGATCAGAACAGTGAAGACTCGGGAACGTGCGGAGTTGCCGGCGCTGCCTAGGACGGTTTTGAGGCTGTCTACTGTGGACATTCGTTTTCGAAGCTCTTCGGCGAAGATTTTTCACCGCCATTTCACAAGACCTGGATGCTGCATCAGGCGGCGGCTCCCCTGCCTGGTTGCGCCGCACATATCCCCAAAACGTTTGCGGGGCACCCAGATACTGCGAACGACGACACTCCAGCAATGTTGTTTATGGCGGATACGATGTGTGTGGTGTTGCTTCATTAGAACTTGCTGGTGCTATTTGCTGGCTGTATCTATGACAGCAGACTCTAGGAGGTGATTTGTGGGTCGTACCAAACAGGATCTCAGCCTGTCTCATCCTGCATGAGGTTGTGGGCTACAGCGGGCGCTCGCTTTACTGGAACGGCGAGCGCATTGAGGCAAACTGAAAAATCATGACTACAGCGTCCTTGCAGGGGATGAAGTGAGACTTGGCGCAGCGTAAAGATAGAAGGGTGATGCACTGAGAGGGCTGGAGGCCGCAGGGTTCAGGGACTGCGTGTTCGAAGGAGCTTGCCACTTGTCCTTGGGCCCCAAGGCTTTTGACAAGTCACTGAGCATGAGTTCTGCCCCTTGAGATTGAGCCGGTCTTCGCGAAGCTGAAGCCGGCGCAGACATTCACGATCGGTGTCCGCCCAGCTCAGAATTTTTGTGTGATGCTCGAGACGGGTGTGGTGGCCTTATGCTTTCAGACCACTGTCATCTCAAGCCTAGATTCAGAGAGATTCATCCAGCCAGGCCCTGGCCAATCTTGATGGCGGTCTGGACAGCTGGGGTAGCGTATCAGATCCCAACAGCTGGGAGAGTACTTCTCATTCCTTCTGATGGAGCTTTTGTGGTATTCCTTCCAGCTCTTGCAAGGTGCCATAGTGTAGAGGGGTTTGAGAGGGGGTGTGAACGCTGTGCTGTCTGCCACATGCTTAACTGAGCCCACTGTCGGATCGCACGAGGGTCAAACAGGTGCAGTTCTGAAGCAGCAGCAAAGACCAACTGAGTTGCTCGGTGCAGTGTCTGCGGCAGGAGTTGTTCATCAACCGGAGGTTGGTCTACGCGTTTTCGCCTGAGGCGCCTTTGCGCGAAGTATTTTCTTTTCAATGGCTCCAACTCCTTTTCTAGCCGCTCGTATGCCTATGCCCCCTCGAACCCGAGTCTTGCAGGCGAACGTCAAGCCGCCGATGGAAGTGGACGTTCCGTTGTGGGCAGTTGTAGACTGCAGTGGAGGCCTAAAGAAGGCCGCTTGGACTATTGCTCGAGAAGTATCAGTACACTCCATGTCTTCTGTCTTGATGCTAGGTTGCACATTGGCGAGTTTGGTAACCTGCACGGTTTGACTCTGCTTCCAACACCGTCAGGCTTCGCTGATCCCAGATTCCATCCTTCCTTCGCCCGAGAAGGAGGGCATAGATGATGAGGCGAGCTCGTAGTTGCCTGCTTGGGATTCACGCCTGTTGTGTGAGTCGTTGCGTCTCTGCACGTGCAACGTGACTCCAGCCCGCCAGTCCCAAGCACAAAGTGCGTCCTTTCCTTGCCATCGTTTTTAGGCCACCGGCGGTGCCGGCGAGGGAGAGGCAGGCTTTTGTTGCTCTCCTTTTGCACCACGCAGCATTCCAGATTGCCATGTGGATTAAATGAACTCGTAGAGGATGGTGAGCCTGGTGATGATGCCGGCGACGCTGCCTGAGGGTCGCGGTCAGGGCCGCAGGGACTAAAACGAATCGCGCCAAAGGGCGCTTCAGATCAATGGACATGTTTCTGCCCATTAGTGCCGTCTCACGCAACATGAAGCAGGAAAGCTTCCGATCAGAACAAAGCAAAGCGTTCAAAAAAGGTGGTCCTTGACTTGTACGAGACAGGGACTGCCATCTCACATCGGAGGAAGGAAGCAGCTTGTATTTCTTGTGCCTCAATCTCATCGGCCGTGCGCTTCTCCAATCCAGTGAGCCAGTGTTGTTCTGTGAAGCGAAACAAGGCTTGATTTGCCGGCATCCTGCCCTCAAACCATGGCCTGACGCCTCAAACCTTGGACGTCGGGTGATGCTATAATGACGCAGATCTGGGTGGGTGTTTTTGTCAAGTATAGCACCCTTCCATGCATACTAGGTGGAATCCATTTGCTTTTCCTGCGGCGGAGTCTTCCGCCTTGATGCAGTAATTGGTTGTAAGCTTGTTGCTTTAGGGAAGGACGCCTCCTACTTGTGCTGCTGCTAACATGACTGATTTTGGCTCAGCACGAAGCCGGGTGCCTACTGGCTAAGCCAGACATGCCCCGGATAACTTCTCATGGATCAGGTCTAAGTTCAATGTCTTTCAAAGATCATAATCTGCATTGAGCTGCGTTGCGCACTCCGCGCTCGACGAACACGTCGTATCTTCTGAAAGGTACAAAAGAGAGACACGCGGCTGGTAATTCAGCATGTCCTTGATCGGCAGCACCGCCTCGCTGCGACGCCCCGCATCGGCGACTGCTCTGAAGGACTTGAGATTTTCTCACATATGTTCAAAGAATCATTAGGGGTCCGAATGTGAACCGTGTAACATCCCTCTTCATTCTCCTCTGAATTGCCACCAGCTCATGCAGGCTAGGAAGCCACACCGCAGCTCTGTGAAAGAAGGCGGGGCAGCTCTAGGCTTAATTAAAAGCACTCGACTGAAAACCCGATGGCTTGGCCCTGCAGACTTGACTTGCCTTGGAAGCATGCCCCGTTGGGGATCAGTGCTTGCGATCCCAGCTGTGTCGTGGACTGCTTTTGCAGGTTCCGTCTCTCGACCGCAAACGCCGTCGACCAGCGTTGGAAGCACAGTACGCAGCACCTCCTCGAGTGCTTTGCCTGCATCGCTGTATGGCTTTGAAGGTTCGGCAGCTCGCCACAAGAAGAGCGGTGGATCAGATACAAGTTGAACCAATGTAAGGTGAGCAGCTGGCGAGGCAGATTTAGACTTAAACGCTCAAATTCCCTTCCTGGGATGTTGACAGGCTGTTGTCGCATGAGCGCAGACTCGAAGGTTGTAGGAACGCAGGAATGCAAAAAGTTTAGCGAGTCAACCCCAGTATTCAGGTGTGGCCAGTAGTTACACAAGCTCTCTCAAGAGCTTTCGTGTGAAGGTTAGTCAGGTATACGAACAGGGCCCGGGGAATACCCACCGGAAATCTAGCGGTGGCAGAGGATGATGCTGGCTTTAGACACTATTTCAAGGCATCTTTCTGGCTTTACCTGTGCTGCCCCGCGTTGTTTGTGTGACAAGCCTCCGTCCTCCCAGTGCACGCAAGTTTGGGAAGACAAGGTGAGAAGTCCTGGACATCCCCCCATCAAGCTCTCTTCATGAAAATCTCTTGCGTAAGAGTGGACATGACACCTTATAGTCTTACAGTCTTACAGTCACTGGCTACATGTATGTAAGTGGGATTGGCATGGTGGTCCCTTCTTTGAGCGGACCTCGCAAGGTGCTCTCCGCCGCTTACAGGAGGAGCAACAGTCCAATGTGGGCACGGCTTCTGGGCGGCTTGGTGCTGGCTGCCCTCTGCCCTCACAAGCTGTGATAAGACGGGATAAGCTTGCCAAGGCTCTGCCTGTTGCATCTTCCCTCGGCTTGGTTAGCGTGCCCTCCGAAGTGGTGCGTCAAGGCCTGCAAGTGTCAAAGAGGGTCTGAAGAAGCTGCCAGCAACATTTGATGCAGGGCTGCTGCGGATAGCCTCCGAGCCTAACGTCGGCCGCTGCCTCGGACCTGCCCGTTGCCTCTTGCATCTGAGGGCGTCCTTGCATCGCCGCTTCAAGGCCGCGATCCGCCGACCTGGGCAGATCCCGTGAGCCCCAAGAACCGGAGCTACCACCACATTGGAATGGAAGAAAGGCGCTCGACCACCGAGTTTCGGGTTTCCTTGTTGTAGTGTCTTCTGCAGCCCCAACCCCGTAGATGCTGATTTTCATTCTCGAAAGAATAGCTGGTGTATGGCCAATAAGCGGCACCGTATCTGTCAGACACAGTCCATTCGAATGCCTCATGGATCTACATAACAGTCGTGCAGGGCCAGGAAGAGATCCAAATCCCTGGGAGGCCCGGACCAGGCTGGGACTTCACCAACGCTGGCCACCTCCTCTGCAAAGGGAGCTTGATGGGGTCGCTCGTGGCGAGCTACGGACCTGTGGTGTGTACCCATTATGTTGATCTTTTTCCCTGTTGCCTTTTTCTCCGTTGCACAGCTTTCTCACAGTCTGTGATGAAGCTACCGAAGGGCTGTCGTGCAATTATTGGCATCATGTGTGACAGTGTTGTCTAGCGTTCAGGATTTCTTGGAACATTTGATAAGTCCTTCTTAGCAATGCTGCTTGAAGATCTTTCTGCATTCATGGTCAACCATAAGCTACCCGATTCTTCGAGGCCCTACACTTAGGCTGAACCCACTAGAGACTGGTCACTTTCATGCCATGCCCCTCATGACTAGTGACCTTGGCGTTCATGATTCTCCCTACTGTTGCTTGTCTAAGGTCTCTCAGCCCTTCGGCTCCCCACGCAGGCAGCGGAGGGCCACGTGGGGCACCTAGTAAGAGGCCTTGCTTGATTTGGGGTGGATCTTTTGATCCCATTTGCACAGGCCCTTTTGAATGACTCAGGCTCCGGGCCGGCACCGAGTGTTTAGAACACGTGAATTGCAGCAGTCATGTTAAGGCCATTTCTGAGCTCAGGATCCTGACAACACTTTTCAATCAGTTCCGTGTGCCTGCCTGACACCGCAGTCTACAAACCTTGACTATATTCCAAATATCGTGAAGTGCCTTCGTCTCCCCCCATTGCATATGCCTTGTATGAGAGCATCTGTGGGCTCAATCTCTGCTTGCCAGAACGAACTCCTCGGAAGCTCAGGTGGCAGAATTTGCGAGGAACTGCGCGCTGCAGGGAAGGCCGCGTGGGTGGCAGACACAGATCCTGAAATCTTTACAGCGCAGTTTCAAGAAAGGGCAGTTTTCGCCCGTACGCTGCCGCAAGATAGGTGAACTGCAAGATGCAAGATCGGTATCTAGGTGCAAGCCAGTCGCATGCTGTGTTGGCTACTTACTTGGGTCCATCTGGAGAGATACTCTCCTATGTGAAGCACCGGGAAGCCGAAGCGGCAGGAGTCGCCTTCCAGCCTATGAGGGTCCGGTTCCCGGTATGTTCATATGCTTTCTGTGCCTGCCGTGGCTGACGGTCAGGGCTGAAATCAATCAGTTATCAGGTGGAGCCAAGTAGTATCAACAACGATTCGGTCAACTCGGCCAACTGACAAGATTCTATGGAAGCATGCCGTTCATTGCAAGTATTAATGTTGTATGACTAAAAGAAGAATTCCCGAGAGGAAAGTGATTCAGGCCACTGGCAGTCACTAGCATGAAGAAGGAAGAGAAGGGGAACAATGAACGTGTTTCAGCCCCGGATGATGGCAGGGGGTAGGGTTGGCAGCAACACTTTGCGGTTAAGGGTCGCGCCAAAGTAGACAAGCGCCATGAGGATTTTGATGCAGCAAACTGAAGGCGAAAGTTCCAGCTGCTCAAAGTGCAAGACTGTCAGCCAAGGTAGCAGAACTGTTTTTAGGGTAATTAGAAGATATTAGAAGGCAATGAGACAGTAGGAGAACAGGTCAGCGGCGAGCCCTGCCCCTCCGTGAGTGGTCCGAACTCCAGTGCCTTGCTCAGATATGGCGGGTCTGTAGGATTGGATTGCACGAGTCCTTCAAACATGGGAACCTCACAGGGGGCATCCAAATATTGACGATCCCCTGGGCCTTCACATTTTCTGTATGGTTTGCTTTTGAATCTGCTTGCTGAGGAATGTTTCCCGACATCGGGAGACCATGCTTCGCGACCTCCACCGAAAGAATAACCCGGACTATGCGCATGGGGCTTAGATCAGCGGTGGCTTGGAATTATGGGCTCAGCACCTTGGACTGCCCCCAACAACATCAAGAACAAGCGTTCGAGCGTGCCGCAAGCGCCAAGCGCCAAGACCCCATGGTTTGCTGCTGCTATGGGCCCCTGCAACCTCTCCATGTTTTGCGTATCCAACCTTTGTATCTAGTATTGGTTGGGTGATTGACTGTCTCCTAGGGAAGTTCCGGACAAACCGGTACCAGTGCGCAACTTCCTCCCGTTCCAGGCCTTGTGGTTTCTGGCATGCTAAGCGGCTTCAGGACTCTTTTCTTAAGAAGGCTTCACTGTCTAGCTTAAGTCATGAGTTACGATTGAGGGTTTTTTGGCACAGAGTGTATGGCCAACCTACATGACCAACAGCAGGAGCGATGCGAACGTATTGTCAATATCTTGGCTATCAATCTGTTGACTCTTGCCAGCCACTTTGCTCTAGACTCTGACTATGTCCTGGATCACTTGGGGAAGGGGACGGTGCTGCAGAGTAGGTTTCCCTGCAATGTTTCTATCTGTGGACGGAAGCGTAAGTGTGGCCAATAGCACCGCAACACTGCTGCGCCCAAATCGTTGGAACCTAAGCACGTCGTGTAGTAGGGAAAACGTCCAGGAAGAAGTTCATTGCTCTTCACCGATTCGTGCCAAGTACTGCTCGCTTCCAGGCGTGATTTACAGTGAGGAGTAGCTTGAATCTTGATTGCTTGGGGGCTCTGCGTGTAGGTGGGATTGGGATCTCTAGGCGTCTGCGAGTTCACGCAGCTTTTTTCGAGAGTATGACTATGAAGGTCACTAAGTGCATGCCTTTGATGCTTTCGGTCTCTGCTTGGCGTGCACAGCGAGTGAACTCATCCAAGAATCTAAGGCTGCATCCGCGCGAGCAGGAGCGACTTCGGAAGAATGCCGAGTTCAAGTCGGGCTTTGGTGCATAGACATATCCTACTGCCCTGGGGAAGAGACAGGCGATTGAAAGGCTAGACAGTTCTTAGCATGTGGGACATGTGCAAACTGGCACGCGAATTGCTGCCGCCCCTTTATCGGTGTATGTACGTTCAGAGTGTGCATTCTGTGGCAATAATGGGGATCCACAAGGAAGTTGCTGGTGCCAAGAGTTTCAACACGAGACTTCTGGTGGATCCCTGTTATACGTTGTGCTGATCCAATTCCCTTCGGGAAGCAGCCTCGGGGTGATGGTGGAGCCTGGTGAGTAGCTTTCCATAGAAGTTGTGATTTTAATGTTCGAGAGCTATGTTGCTTTGTGCACAAGCAGTCACGTTTGCAGTTGTGACGACTTGGCGTTGCTTGTGAGCCATCGGCAGACACCTGCGTGTTGTATTCTGATCTGTTCTGCTCAGAGACGAGTTGACATCGAGAGCCTCCTGCATGTCACCGGCCATGATGGCCCGATCAATGCAGAGGGACAGTACTTTATAAGCAGCTCCCCATCAGTGTTTCTGTATTCTTTGTGACCTGCTTTGAGAGCCCGCGGTGGTGAAACCATCTTTGGGTCCAACAATCCTGGCATGCAGGCTAAAGACCCGGATCACAGGGAGGCAAAATGTCGCCACGTTTAGACCCCAAATCCTGCCGGCTACAGCCTGATGTTCTGGTAAATCCCCGAGAGCGTGAAGCTGCAGGTCAAAACTTCAATTCTTTGTCCCGGGTGGTGCTGTCATGCTGCTTTGCAAGACTTGCACAATGCTTGCCCACTGCCGCTCATTGATGCTCTTAGCCTGATGGCCTGCATCTTGATTCCAGTTTCCTTTGGTCACTCAGGAATGCAAGGGAGGGTGAACTTTTCACTGCAAGGTGTAAGACGCGTTTCCGTCTTTGCACGCCATGCCGCCTCGAGCCGACATGGTCAAAATGAAGGCCACCATTGCATGGACCACAGTGCATAGTTAGTTTGCATAGCCATATAGGACTCTTTATAAGCTAGCATGCCAACCCGTGTTAAGCCGGGAAAGTCTGGTTAGAGTAGGAGAAGGAACCTTTGACGGCACCCGGAAGGCGTGAGGTCCGCGCTCACCGGCATGTCTGATGTGGTGGCGAAGCATGGCGCTCATTTGTAGATTTTCGCTTACAGTTAAGGATGCTGTATTCTGGACCACTGGCTCAGAGGGGGGCTGAGCGTTGCTGATCATTTGCGTCCGAAAGGGGCGTGTTGGATTGGGCCTCTACAAAGCTCCAGTAGTGAGGACTAGTCTGATATGCTGGCCAAATCGCCAGGAAGCCAGACCATCCTCTCTCTTCTGGTTCACTTTCCCATTGAGGCTTCCATCAGGCTCTATCAGAAACCACCGGGATGCTGCTGTGTGAATCTGGCTGTTGCTGCCTGCTGCAGCCCAGCCTCTTTGCTCAGCCAGAAGCTCCTTGTCACAACGTCTTCGCCACATGTTCAGCTTAATGCGCAGAATGCTTCTAAACAGTCTACAGCTAGCAATTGCCCAGGAAGGGCAAACCAAAGGAGCGTCCGCGGTTTGCCTGGCCTCTTGGCCGCCTTGGCAGTGGACTGCTAGCCTTGCCGAGAGGGTTTACAGGGCGTGGGCAGAGTCCGATACCTTGAGAGAACGCTCCAGCATTCTTGAGACTGGTCTTGTCAGTGTGGCTTGTGTGTTTGCACGGTTCAACGTTTGGTGCAGTCTGTGTTTGGGCAATCATCTTGTGTGGATGTGTGGGGGAAGGATGGCGCAGAGATCCTGTTTCTTCCGTCACAGCAGAATCGGGTGGTCGAAGTGTAAGGATCCTGGCGAACTGTGCCGAAATTACCAACCATCGTGATCCTCTCTCTAAAGACGACGCAGGAAAGGGACACATATCCAATTGGATCGACTTCAGCTGAGCTAATTCGGTAACCGAGTTGCTTCGGCTTGAAGCATGTCTGTAGTCTTTGACATTGTGGTTCAGGTGGCGAAACCTCCATTGCCAGGCCAGACTTGCACAAGGGGAGAGTGAAGTTCTCTTGCTGGAGTCAGTCCTTAAGTGAGCTGCAGCAGCTCTTCCACCTCGTCACCCACTGTGCTTGTCCCAGGCAAATCGTACATGGGACAGCAGCGCCAGGCATTTGCGGGAGTGGGCTTGGGTCGTCTGCTGGTGCTGCTTCCCCGACGAATGCTGAATGCTGGCTTGGCATGTGCAGGAGTTAATAACCCCTGCATAATTGTCGGAATTAAAATGAAATGCAATCCCATGTGCTCCTGCAGCATTGTTCTTGGAAGTTACTGGGGTCCCAAGATTACCAACGGCTGGAATTCCCCACTGAAGTTAATTGTAAGCGCTGGGGCGCGTCCGCCTGGTCAGCCGGGCTGGCAAAGGCGGCCACAATTATTGGTGTGAAGAGTTTGAGCAGGGGCGGGGGGGCTAAAGCGAGGAAAAAAGCAACAGGAACATGGTCTCATTGGGGCATCTATGGAAGTGTTCTAACTTCTTGGCTAGGGACAGGCTATCTTATTCTTAAGCTTTCGTCTGCGCTTTCATGATATTCTTCGAGGTTTTCTCTGCTTTGAGGTGCCTGTTTTGGCTGCAGCTTCTATTGGCGCTGTACCTCATTGTCCTTACTCCTGACATCTCCTGACTGCTTGTTGTTACGAAAGCATTGCAAGAGCTTGCATTTTAGGCCCAGATGTGTTGAATCATGAATCAAGAATAAGGGGGCTTGCCCAAATTTCGCGGCCTTGGTTTTGGGGAGGTGTTCCTCGGATCTCCAAAACGGGTCTGAAGGCGGACACACTTGGGAAATTTCGAGCAGAAACCAATTCTTGTTTTCGCGTCGGCAGATGGCAAGTTTGGAGTTTTGCGACTGGCGTAACCCGTACCTGCCATTGCGTGAAGTGCTGTAGAAGATGCGGTGCGTTCGCCCCATCTGCCACTGCTCGCTACTTGTACCAGCAAAGCCTGCCTTCACAAGAGGGTCTAGTCAACGACACGCTTTGAAGCACATACACAGACCTTCTCATTCTTGCCGCGGCTCTTGCTGCAAACCTATCCTCGCCGCCCATAGGCGCACATTTGGACGCCTACCCGTAGTGGTTTGGTGCTTCGTGTTCCTTTTTTATTTCCTGCTTGCAACTTGCTGTTCGTTCGCCAATTTTGCTACTTTTCTCCGCTTGCCTCTTTTTTTTGGTGCTTTGGGCTTCGTTGCCTTTGCCGCGTCACTGCAGCCACCACTCATACCTTGACAGGTTGATTCCCTGAGCGGGAAATCTCGGACATCCAAACGCATGAAGCCCACATTCCACTCAGTAGACCGCCAACAGCTTGCCGTTCTTTACAAGACTTCGTAAAAGGAACTCCACCTCCTGGAACATTAGATCCCGAACTCACTGATGCATGTCATTCAGCTATCAAAACATGTCAAGCCCAGCATCCTCCCTTTAAAGCTTTAACAACTCAAATACTTGATTGCCGGCCAGTAGCACCTTCGTTCACCTGCCAACGGTGAAGCGGAATGCTTCGCCGCATTTGAAGTGGGCGAAGCAGGCGAGGAGCGTAGGAGCTCAGCCAGCAGCTCTTATCAGACGATGTCCGCTTACAATGTTGAAGTGTCTGACACGAGTGTCGCAGCACCCATTTGCAGGTTCACACGCAGCAAAAGACATGGCTGCAGCAGCACTGCCGCATCCCTCGGTTCACGCTAGCATTGTTGGATTTTGCAGTGGTAAGCTTTTGATGAAGTATTTCTTCATCAGGACCGGCCAGTGGGGCTGTACCGATACACATGCTTTGATCTGCACCGCGAAAAACTGGAGAATCCAACCCTTCGAAATCGCAGTAAAGCAAGGGATCACAAGACCTTAGCTGTTCCGGAGGCAGGGGTATCGGGGTACCTGATAAGTGGCAAAAAGGGAGCTAAAGCATGAAGACACTCTGCATTGTCAAGAAGGCATACGCGTAGATCCCGAGAACCTGAGATCCAGAAGCGAGGTACAGCCCAATCAAGACCCTCGTAGGGAGCAGCAACTACCTCCCAGCAGAAGCACCATTTGCATGGTGCCACAATGTTAGTTGGACCTTGCACAGCCAAGCACACTGTCGTGACAACAGCAGGGGCATTCTGATCAGTGGCCATCCGAATCTAGCCAGACTGAGGTTAGGAAGGGAACTGTGGCACCTGTAACAAAGCCGATAGCATAACAGCGGCGGAGCTTCATCGAAGAATCCTTAGGCCAGCTCTGCAAGCCTCTTCCGCAGCGGGGTGATGCTTCCAGGCCTCACCGGCCCCGAGGTTGGCAGCCTTTAGGACAGCGCTGACACAGTGCAATTGAGTCAGTGCCCTGGAGGTCCCAAGAGCTGCCCCCTTGGGGAGAGCACAGCGATGAAGAGCCTCCCTCTCTTCATGTTCAAATGGGCAGTGCGCTCAAATTCAAAGCCGCCCTGCGCTTGCAGAAAGTAATCTCAAAGGCCACCGCCCTCCGCGTGGATGGCTCCGATGTGGCAGATCTACGTGCAGAGGACTTCCGAAGTGGCCAAAGAAGAGTATGTCAAGTCCAGAAGCCACAGTCAGGGCAGAGCTCCCCTTGCTCTTGCTGTCACCTCCACGACAGATGCAGCTCCCCTGGATGCTTTCTAAGTCCTTCTCCTGTGCCGGCAGGAAAGGAAGGAGCTTCTGCAGAGGCGGCTTTCGCAGCATGCAGACAAATGCCATTGGTGTTGTAGAAGCTACGCTGCTTCCACTCCCTTTTGGCCGTTTGAACGGCGCAGTTCGGTGCAGTTGGCCGCCAGTACTCAAGCCCAAACATCAGGGGTTAAGACATTCTAGTTTCTTGGAGGCTTCATTGCAACAGAACCGGAGTGAAGAAAACATCGCGCTGAAAAGCTACACTCTGTCAGTACAATCTCAGATCAGCCTACAAAATCAAGTGCTGGTTTGCTCAAAGCAACGGAATGCAATGGCCACAAATTGATCTCTGAATATACATACGTGCAATGCAAACTCAAAAGTCAAGCTCCACACATTTTTTCTTTGGCACTTGGCTGACAGCTTCACTCCTCTGAGGCGTACCTGTGGCCTCCAGCGCCTGCGGGAGACGCAGCAGAAGTGGCGGCCGGGGGCCCTGGAGTATTTTGCTAAGTTTTGCCTCCAGGCTCATTGTTAGAAGAAGGAGTAGCTTCATTGAGCTGAGGCTGAAGAAACATCCTTAGAGACTTTGGTTTGGACAAGGACACGTGCTCTTTATGTTAGATGAAGAAGGCGCGGCTAGCAGCCTGATCCAATTCCAAGTCTTGACGAAGCTATGTTGTTGAACCTCAGATGCCAGGCAAAGGCAGCTCCTTTGGTAAGAACAGGCAGCCACGAGTGGTAACCAAAGAGCATGGTGTAGGTGCGCAGCCGGCCCCAAGAAAATCCTGCAAATGGAAGTCAAACAAAAAACGCCTCGTAGAGACTTTGTAGCCCACAGCCAAGGCGGGAGCACCGCGCCTGGAAGCAAAAGCAGCGGCACGAGAGCCCAGAGGCCAAGCTTCACATGCTTTGTTTTTGCGCCTGGCCCCAACTTCAGGAGACAAATTGTGCGCTCGCTTACCAAGTTTCACAGTCCAATTCTTGGCCTTCCTGTCTTCAACTTCAAGCCTGTCGAAGCACCTGTCGCCCGCACCGTCCTCAATCTGATGAGTCATGAGGGCTGCTTTCTTCGACCAATTGCCTGCGTGTAGGCCTCACCGCTGCCGAGCCCCTCTCACGAGGCAAGCGACTCACAATCGCCATCAGCTGCATCATATACTGGCGGTGTAGCACTGCACTTTTTTTTGCGCAGAGTTCGTCTCAGCATCTGGAGTGAAGGTTCTCTGAAGGGCAGTGATTGTAGTTGCCGCATTTACCGCTTGCTCGCAGGCTTCGCAGGCTTCGCTGACAGCTTCACAGGCTTTCAAGCCCGGCAGAGTTCGGCAGCTTGGGACTCAGATGCCAGAGACGAAGGCCTCGATCGAGGTGAGATTGAGGATTCAGAAAAGTTGGGCTGCCTCTAGTAGCTGGGGTTGTTGCAGCATGAAGGACGTGGCCTCCTAAATGCCTGACCTGTCTTGCCGCACCCTGAAGCCGGAAACCTAAGAACCAAACTCTACGGGGTACTCTGTGTTGCACTTCTCGATGTGTGCATAGAACGTGAAACATCTTTGCGCGAGGGCCATGCGGTTTGTGGCTTGATTGGATAGTGCGGATGATCCAAAACCGGCTCACGAAAGCTTGACGTGATAGCATGTGATGTGGGCATTACGGTTTGGGGCCATCTTTGGCACTTCAGACCACAGGCTCCGCAGCAGGAGCTTCATGATGCATGCAGAGCTCCCACCAAACATGTTCCTACATTTAGTTGGCCACCTTCGGTAGCATGTACATTCCTAGTGCATACATGATTCAGGCTCACTCATCATAGATGATTCATGGATGTTGGCAACAGCAATACAAGAGCGGGACCGCTGAAGCTTCGCGCGGGCCAGGGTCTTTGTGAACAAATAAGCTTGCGGTTCTTCCCTGACTTGTGGGATAAATCAATGCAATGCTGTCTCAACATGTCCTGGATCCACAATGCCCGGCACCCGCGTCCGAAATGCGCAGTCCTACAAGACGCTTCCTGATGCCTTGGACCTTGGATTCATCCGTGGTTCCAACATCAATGCAGTGCTCTCCAACAATACTTGGCTTCCTCTTCGTTGGCAGGCACAGGAAGGAATTCTTGCTGGACCCACCTGGGAGATCTTGATAGCAGAGGAGAGCTTTCATGGTCTGCTCCTGTCGTTGCTTCCCCCAACCACCGGCACGGACTGCCACGCAAGCGCAGCTGTGGCACGGCCACTTCACCCTTCCTGAAGAATATCCTCCATCAAAGAGGAGCTCATCTTTGGCAAAGTCAAGCCGACCTCGAGAAAATGCAAAGCACGCGGACAAGTTCATTTGAACCACGACATCTGATTAAGAAACCTCCATCCCCAAGGCCGTCGGTGTCCAAGGATCGCCCAGTTCGAGATTGGGTTATGAAGTTCTTCTCAGCGAGCAGAGGACTGACACACGTTTCAGCCACACTCCGCCCTGGATGAGGCCCAGCTTCAGGAACGATGCGGGAGGCTTCATCAGGATCAGCTGATTTTTTTTCTGACAGGACGGTAAAAAGGCACGCTGCACCTGTGCATCACCCTCATTGCTTGCATCGGCCGAGACTCTTACCAGAACCGTTCGGCGCATTTGCATCCTGCATGCCATGCGGGACCTCTTCAAAAATGTCGCGCACGTAAAATCTCAGCTTCGGCTTGAACTCCAGCTTTGCATGCTCACTTAAAACTTCCTTGACAGATTCGGCTATCTGGTAATCTGGTGGTCCTGCAGGCAAACCGGAAGTTCAGCAGCATGGCCGCACAAAATTGGCTGGATCTTGCCGAAGTTTTGAGGACGGATCGAAAATGAAGTCGCACCACTCGATGATCCTTGTTTGCTTGTCCTCCCTGAGCAACCAGAACTTTCAGAAAGAGACTGCCCGTGCTCGATCCCTTTCTAAGGACAACGATCTCAAAAATGCCGCGCAATTTGCAAGGGTGTGCCCCAAACAGTTGTACCTCAGTCCGCACGTAGGTTATCACAATGAAATGCACGGCGTTGACACTTGCAACGAATTTGGGTAAAGGATGGTAAAGGGTCTGGTGACAGTGACTGTCTGGCAGCGTACTTTCATTACATAGCAGAATAGTGCCCTGGCTACCTTGCCTTCGGGGTGTGAACGTGGTTCGTTCTTTTGGAGGGTGTTTTGTTCGCCTTGCGAGGTCGCTGCAGACCGTGGAGTCCGAGGCCTCACCAACTTTAGCAGGGAGGTAGTGACTTTGAGATCATGTTGTGTGTCGGAACAAATTTGACGTTCATGATGCAGTTTTGCCATCTTCTTCCAGAACCATTCAGTGCAAATTCAGTTTGTTGAGCAGGGTCGGTGATGGATCCCTCATCCACGAGAATCTCAAGAATTCCCTTGTCTAGTTTCATTTTGTATTTTCGCTTTAGCGCTGGCCACATGAATGGCAAACCACTTGCTGGCATAGAGTTTGGAGTTTGGGGATGGGTCCCTGTGAGCCGGACAACTATGAGAGGATGAAACCTCCAGCAATCAGACCTCAAAGCCCAGCGCTCGGAAGCTGCGGTTTGAGCTAACTTGGAAACCACGTATGCTAGGACATACTGCGGAGGGCAAGCTTGCGTGAGAGTGTACCGATGCCGCTCACGACATTCATGACTTACTTGTGCAGAATTGCAGTGCTAAGATGTATTCCGTCCAAGTTCGGTTGGACAGACAACTCCACAGATATAGTAGCTTGCTCGGATAGTCAACGTTCTCAATTTGTTAAGGAGCAGCTTTGGAGACGGCGAGCACAGTGACCACTTCGGGCCGATCGACAGGCTGCTATTTATCTGCCTTCTACTACCATTATCTATGTAGTGTGCCAACATGCGTTTGGCTGCATCGCCCTTAGGCGACACAGACTCTTGCTTGACACGGATTCCCTCATTGGGGTCACTACCAACTCATGGCTTTGAACTTTCAATGCGGCTTGTTGTGTTCGTTCGATTGCAAGACTTTGTGCAACTTGCTCAACTCGATGGCACGGTCTTTACCAGACAGCTTATAGGACAATGCCCGGATGCGGGGTGTTTTCCTGTTCAGGAAGCTGACGTCTGGCCAAGTTTGGTGTCCTTGATATGTTTGTAAACTCATAACTGGTATCCAGAAGATCTGGTCAGACTTTGAAAGCACAGCGATGGAGGCCCAACAATCAAATCCCAAGAAGGCCCCACCTCAAGGAGGCGGTTGCTTGCCCAAACCATATGGATCATTGCCAGTTATTCAGCATACTGCATCTGCTGGAACAAATTGGCACGCTAACAGAAGTAAGAAACTTCTCACAGACCATGGAACTTGCGACCCCCTGATGTCGGTGACGGCTAGCTAAGCGCTGTGCAGAGAAGGTCCAGCTTGAGTCAAGCGTGAAAATCGACAAGTCTCCAAAGGCACACGAAAAGTATCTATCACCTCGATTCTGAGGCTTGTGGGTTTATTTGCTGAAATATCAGCGGTTCGTTCCCAAGCCAAATCTTGCAGAAATCCATATCACAGCTGTGTGGCAAAGCCAATTTGATTCCCTCCACACAGACCTGAACCCTTGAATCTCTTCAGTTGCCTGGCTCGTGACTGCAGCATAGAGCAGCGCAGGCCCTCGCCATCTGAGTCCCTCACCAGCTCCTCTGCGGAAGGATGGGCTGTGGAGGGATGTCAAGCTCAATGACGTTTAAGTCAGGGCTGTGAGGGGTTTGGGGCTTCTTGCTCACGGGGCTTTCAAGGCTTACGTTGCAACTCCGAGAGGCCACGATAGCTTCGCCGAGCGCGAGAGGCCGCTGGGCGCTCGGGGTCAGTGGGCGGGAGCATGGGCTACACCTGACTGAATCTCAGTTTGGGAGACTCAAAGTACCTGCAGACCCAGGCCGCTGGTCCAAACTTCGATGCTGAGGCAGGGTTGCCTGGCCAAACATTCCAATCTCAGCCTGGGATTCGGAACCGGCTGGCTTTGCCAAGCACTTGTGGAAGTTCTGGTTTCTACCCATGACAGGCGCAACTCGGTCCAACGTCAGGGCTTACTAACGCAGCCTGCCGCGCTCCGAGATGCCGGTACAGAAGGGGATTCGCAGCTCGCAGATCAAGACTTTCTAGGCTTGACCTCTCTGGGAGAATGATGAAAGCGTTTCTGTAAATCGGGGCGGTCGTGAGAAGTTGAGCAGGACAATTCTGGCTCCGTCTTCATGTGTGATAGTCCTTCCTGCCTCCATTCCACTCCTGCACATGGATCGCTCGGCTGATTCCTACAACCACCAGCTTGTGAGTCCGAGGTTGTAGGCGCGACGGCAAAGGATGCCGATGGAGGTCACCGGATTTGTAATTTGCAGCTTTGAAGTCTTTTGGAGTAGGAATCCTGCGCAGGAGGAATGCTTGCAAAGTCTGTAGGCAGGTGAATTGACTCTGGAGGATGTTTTCCATCCTTGGATGAGCCCCTGTGCAGTTTGAAAGAGAGAGCCTTACCAATTCCTGCACGGGTAGCACAGGATTGTGACGAATGCACCAGACATCCAGTACTGATTGCCGACTTTCGGCTGCATAATTCAAGGTGACATCAGCCTGGAGGAGCTCTTTGACGCAGGTGGGCCAAGTAGTGATTGCAAGGGTAGGATATGTGGGAAACAAATGCTGCTTGCGCATGTGCCCATTGGTTCTTGTCAGGGTTTTGCGGAAGAGTTCTCGAAATCATCAGTGGTCAGCAGGCAACGATGATGCGCACTTGGGGGAGACACAGGACTCGTGGTAGCCCCAGAGACAGGCTAGCTTAAGCTTTGGCAAGTTTAGAGCGTACAAACTGCAACCAGGCAAGCAAGTTGTGACTGGATCATCCCTTTCTGATCTTGGTGCCTTTGTTGCCTTTAGTCCAGTCGGGACCTTCTTCAGCTTCAGGAAAGTCACCACGCTCCCTGTTGGGATCTCAGCAGTCAAGCAAGGGGAGGCAATGCGATGATTAGTCGTAACAGTCGCGCTGGGCTTTGCAGATAGGGAGTTTCTGCTGTTGAAAACCTCAATGTGCACTGTCGTGATTCCCATCTGATGAGCAAGGTCTCCGATATGAGTGCCCACATTGCGAGGTTGTATTCCAGAGCAACTTCTCATCATGACGCACTGCGACGGTTAGGCAGTTGGACAGCTGAGGCCGACTATTTGATGTCATCGCTCCTGTCTAGGCCAGGCCTTGAATGTTGTCATGATCTCAATCCTGGCTTTGAGAGTTCAATTCATGCCATAGAGAGCTGTCAGGTATTTTGCGATTTTACGGTATTACGTCTTGTTTATTGCGAAAGCATATCACGGCTGGTTCTGCTGCGGCCCGTTGTTGTTGTCGTGGGGGTGGTGGTCGCTACTTTCGTAGGCATCATCAAATAGGTGCAGTCATAGGCAATCATGTTTGCTACTGTTGTTGGTGCATGACCTTGTCTGGAGGCTGGGATTTTGCTGAGATTTTGTCGGCCGCAGCTACTTCAAGCTGCCTTCAGGGGTCGCAGTTAACAACAAAGCAGCATGTCGAACATGTGGCTACAATTTCAGTCTTGCTGACAAACAGGCTATCTCATCTAATTACATCAGCTCTGCCTTGCGACAGGACAGGCACGGCTGGCCAGCCTGATCCGGAGGCCGTTGCTGCCAAGTGGAGGGAATGGGCGCAGCTTCCAGCAGCTGTTAGAGAATCCAACCCCGCGGTGCGGTGCAGCGGGACTGCAAGCTGGGGATTGCAGGCCCAGCGTCGTGCCTCAATCCCAGATGCCCGCGGCTCAGGTGGCAAAGCAGGAGCTTGCCAGATGCATACTCCGTCCTCCCCCCTCCTCCCTTGCTACTTTGCTAAAGCTTGCTAGAAGTTTCTTGGAGCATTTCAGTCTTGCAAAGGTCTTGCCAGATGAGCTTCAGGAGGAGTTCGTGGCCTCGGTGCAGCTTGCGTGTGAGGCAACTGATGGGAGGTGAAGGTTCAGGTTCGCTTGCATCCGATTCTCCAGCTTTACATTCTAGGTAATCGGACATTGCCAGGGCTTTCGGAAGCCTACAGACGTTCAAGCCAAGGGTCCTTGCAGCTTCGCAGGCAACCTTTTGCTTTGACCTTGGAGCGGATACTAATTGTCAACCCAACGCAAGCCCGGAAAGCTAAGTAGAAAAATGGTAGACCACCAGCCTTGAACTGTCTCGCAATGCCTGGCCGCAGACGTGGCGTGCTGACTTTCCTTTGGAGGCTGCGCATGCAGAAGAATGATGGAGGGCACCTGGGTTCAAGGGCATTTCGTCTCCAATGCAATCTCCTATCCAGTTTGACTGGACATTTGAATTGGAAGAATCTTTCAGTGAGTCTTACATTCAGTCTAGAAGCCTGTGCAAAGTCATGCCTCAAGTTGCCCCCGGAGCTTGGAAGGTCTTGGATCAGCTGGCTTCAGCCTTTGACTCCTGGAATCTGGAGGATTCTGTCCGCAAGACAAGCCGCTTGGCACTGGATCTTGTGATGCTTGCACCGCATGCGCTAAGCAAGAAATTCAGCATGTGGCCACTGTTCCGCGCTTTACCCAGAAACCGTGCTGAACACATGTTGTTGAATGGTCCACGTGCGTCTGAGGCGTCCGGAACCTTTCCCACGAGCTGAGCTTAGCGTACAAGCTTTTGGAAGCTTTCGGACATGTTTTGGGTGATTGCAACTCCGATGAGACCAACAACCAGGAAGTAAGTCGTAACTTTAATCTAGGTAAGGCTTGCGGTGACGCTGAGAGTTAACAGTTAACCTTTCATCTTGGCGTCCTTCAACCTGAGAATCCTGTCTGGAATGTGGGATAAGAATGATGACAACAGCAGTGGCACGAGCCCGCATCAATGCTTGCAATGCTTGTAGTTGCCGATGCAGCAGCAGCAGTGGTGATGGCATTGCTTATTAGTATTAGCTTAAACACGAAACAGCAAGAGACCAACATCACGAACAATTAAGAAAACTGACACACAACAGCCGCAATAACAACGACAACGACCGCGACACAAGCAGTGTCCGGCATGCGTGCAGTGTTTAATCAGGTCCTACGGTATGTCCTTGGCTGGCCACCGAAGATCTTACAGCAAGTGCTGCAGGCCATGGGTCGGGGAGAAGGTCAAGAAACCAACTTAGACCCTGCTATGGTTCTGTTGATGCTGCACCACCTGACCTGGCTTTAGAGGGCGGGGTCTCAAAGCATTCTGCAGACCTGCCCCCTGGTCCTTACTCACGGCTTGTGATCTCATGATACCTGAGCTAGACCGGAGCAACTTGGTCTGCAGGAGCAGGGCCAGGAAGAGCTCTACTTCAAGCGGCTGAGTGATCTCCTGGAGCACGCCTGCAGCATTTGCAGCTCTGATCTCGTTCATGCATCCTAAGTGTTGCTCTCTAGATGATGGTCTATGGCATCGCTCATGCTAGCTCATGCCACTCCGCACGCCGCTTGAGGAGCTCATGCAAGAGGCCCTGCAAGTGGCTGAAATGGAGGAGCCAGATGCTGTGGCCTCTGTTGCATTCATCATGTTCAGATGGCAATGAGGCTAGCGGCTAGGTGCTCAAGGCTCTTGTGCTATAAGAGGTGTCTGTAGGACTTGTACTTTGGAGAAACATGTTGCGAGCTTGCCCGAGAACTCTTGCGAGGTCCTGTGGTCAGATTGGGATCTGGCCTTGGTCAAGGAAAGCTTCAGGACTTTGGCTCAGTACGAAGATTTTTCTGCCCCTCCTTGTTTAAATTGGTGCTGGTCAGCTTTGGACAGCCTGAGGAAGTTTGCGTCCAAGGGCTCCAGCACAATGCCAGTGGTGAACTTGTTTCAGGCCTGCGAACGAACAAAGTGCAAATTAACCAGAGCTTTCAGCATGATGCAGCAAGCTGACAAGCTGACAGGCTATTCATGTCCTTGGCTTTGAAGAGCTGGAGGTCGACTCTCCTGACAGGCAAGGAGTTTCTGAGTGTCTCAGGGTCAGCTTCTTGGGATACCGATGGACTCTCAGGCAAAGGTGGCTTGCCGGGATCACAAAGGAGGTCTTGGCGAGGAAGGCCGGCAGTGTGAGTTTGCTGTGTCAGGGTTCGATGACTGAGCATCCGTAAGTTGTGTGTATTCTTTGAAGTCAGGAGCCTTGTAAAGCACCATCTAGCATCTCCATCAGAGGACTGCGAGAACCGAGAACCCCATTGTTTGGGTTTGGATGGAGTAGGGCTTTGCTGCCTGTGCTCGGCAGTCACGCACGTTTCGGGTCATGTCAGTGCAGCTAGGACTGAAGTCACCGGAGTTTCTCAACGAACTCTTAAGCAGCCTTCCGTGCTGATTTTGGACCGTGCCGTAAATTGCCCGAGGCCAGCCGGGCGTCCATGTCTGTGGAGACCTCACGCCGCGAGTCATGGGTCCCAGCGACCGCAGCCAATCGACACGGGTGCGCTGGGCTGTGGTCTTTGGGGATGGAGGTTCAACAAGGAGGAATGAGGCAGAATCCAGGTGACGCGGAGACGGCATGCGCTATGCAGACCATGTCTTGAGGATGCAACATGTAAGCTGCTGCCTGGCAGGGTGGGGGCTGGAGCACAGCTCAGTTTTCGCGACTTTCTCCGTGCGCCAAGGGATCGGCGCCATTTTTAGAGCTTTGGGGAACTCTGCTTAGTATCCTTCAGATTTCAGAAATTTTCTTGATAGAAGCTGGTCGACTCGGATTCGTTGCGCTCTAGCATGTGCCACTGTGCCAAGAAAGGCTGCCTCTTTCGGCGTATGCGGGTTTTGCCTTTGATTGGATGGGCCTGCGTGAAACCTGCCTCGCCAAGAAGGGGACTCCAAGGTTTGTCTGACTGAGCGTCACTCGCATCAGTTGCACTGCCTTCAGGTGCAACAGTCAGGTCGTGTGGATAGCAGTGCTGCAAAGTGTCCCACCCAAAGAAAAATCCAGGTATTTCCCGTGTTTGCTAATCGAAGCATGCCAATCCTCATGGTCGTTTTGTCCAGGTATTTCCAGCCGTGCTCTGCGCGAGCGCGAGCGGGAGACTCGTGTCGACGAATTCCGTGCTGAGACCAAGGCCGCCTCGAGTCAACTTGAGACATGCGCCGGGTTTACTGAAATCACTGTTCCATGTTTGTGAATCATGATCTTGAAGATTCATTTGACGAAAGTTTGTTTTGCTTGTGCTTTTTCAATGGGGCAACAAAGTGTTGTTACCTTACATGCGAGATTCAGGTGCGGCCTTAGTGACTCCTGACCCTACTTGAAGTCGAATGAGCCTCAGCGAAATAACATGCACAGACTGTGTGTAAGTCTTGCAGGCCATCAAGACGGGAAATTACGGCCTGCTGGAGCTGGAGGAACCGTGTTGGCTGCGGAGTGACGGATTGCGTATTGCATTGTTTTCAGGGCGTGCAAAGGCCTGCCACATTCTCAGTCGGAAAGACCCAAGACATTTCGCTGTGTAGGTTTACTGCCTTGCGACCGAAGTGATATTGCGTGGCCATGGGGACAGCATTCCTCAAGCCCCCAAAAGTTGAATGCAGGATGTGCGTGAGCTCCACAGCAGCTTCTGCAGTCTCAAAGCATCGATGAGAAGCTCTGGTGGCAAGGCTTCCTTTGACTGCAGGGACTCAGTCCGACTAGTGCAGGCTCTGAAGCAGACGTCAGGGCTTGAAGCATAGGTGCGCAAATCTTGGGCAGCACATGCCTTTGATACTCACAAGCTGCCAGGGAAACCTGGAGGCCATGCAGGACACTCTGCGTCTTTGTGTTTGTCCATGATGGCTCAAAGGCGGTTGTGAACAGGGTTTGTGACAGCAGCCTCAGCTTCGGCTGCCGAGCATACCAGAGTGATGGGAACGCACGCGTTTTGAGCGGTCAGATCCTGCTGAAGCCATTCAATCACAAGTGAGGATTCGCAAAACCACCAACTTTCCGGAAGGAAATTGTTTGGATGAGGTTGTGATTAGATGATTAGCTACAGACCAGGAGCTCCTCAAACGATGTGGAGTGCCACCCCTGGATGCCACGGATGTTGGCAAGCTCCGTCAAGAGCTCAGGTATCATTCGCTTAGTGTCTGGAACAGGGAGATTTTGGAAACTAGAGGTTTGAGGCTTGGGTCTAGAAGACAAAACAGACGTGCTTGCTATGCGCCCAAGCTGCCAGACTGATGTGATTGTAAGTGGCGGCTTGACACGACTGCTTTCGATGGTCTGAGGCATGCTCCTGAGAGCACCCAAAGACGGTCACCAGAAGCAACCGCAGGCTGCCTGTGATCTTGAGCCCTTGATTCCTCAACTGCCCTAGCTATTTGCCTGCTTTATTTGCAGGAGCAAGCCGCCACTGCGGTAGAGGATGTGAGCTTTGTGGTTTTCCTACGCAGCGACCTGAAGCTGGAAGATCTGTAGGATTGCTACAGCAGAATCGAACAGAGTTGAGGAAGTCATCCAAGGCTGGATGCGAGAGATACGCGAGTCTGGCATCGAAGGCTGGACCCGGGAGACCAACATGTTTGCTGGCTGTTGCTAAACGTGCGGCATGTGGTCTTGAGATCTGTCGGAGCAGGGAAGTGCTCGATACCCATGAAGCCCGAACCTTGATACCTGAAAACTTCACATCTTGTGTCAGGCCTGGCCGCCTTGCGCTTTCGCAGAGGAGGTGAGGTGTCGCTGCAGGCACAGAGGGGTTCTTTGGGTTGTGAGGATGTGGAGTAGGTTTCGGAATGTTTCGGGTGGTTTTGGATCTGGAAAGTTGTAAATACACGCAGTTTAG